ATTCATCATTGGTATAGAATGCCCAATGTCTTAAATGACCTAACATAAATTAAAGTATATTCTGGTTGTAAAATCTGACCTAAAAATATTTCTTTAGTGAGAATTATTTATAGAGTTATGGCTATTGTTATACAAAACATAGCAAATGGCTTCACAGCTGTGGAAAAGAAAATGATTAAAGGATCTCATGGATTTTTAGTTGATTTTTTAAAAGGGGTTGATGGTGGGGAATGAATTTGTGCTTTAGTTTGATTTTTTTTTTTTAACAAACACAGGGTCATCAGGCAGTTCTTCAGGGTATTCTACAAAAACAAGCAAAAACCAAAAGACCAACTGGGAAAAGAAGTTTTACATTTACTGAGGTTGCAGGTCAGCACATTCAGGCAGAAATACAGCCAATACTTTGTCTTATGTCTTTTTTAATACTTGAACATAGAAGTCAAATGCAATGATGTCTTTTCACTTTGTAGTCACAGATGAAGGAGACCAATAAATCACAGAAAGCTGACTTCAATAAGCCTCAAGCTAAGAATCTGTGAATGGATCACAGAATTACTGGCACAGTTGCCACCTAAAGCAACAAGCATTTCCAGTATCTTTCCAGTTCACCCACTTTTAAAGCTCAACTCTGAAAATTCTTCAACCTCTCTATACTAAAATCCACTGATCTCGCAACCTGACATAGGTTTTTGATCATTTCACTGCTTCTCTCCTCTTTTCCCAGTTTAAATACCAGGGTCAACCATTACAATCACCCTGTCCCTTCAGCTCCATATTCCCTCTCTCAAACACTCATCTCCTCTTGGCAGAATAACAATCCTATTTAAATACAATTCTTTGCCTGTCAGGAACTTGAGTCCACATAAACAAATGAGGCTGAAAAAACAATGAAATGGGCTAAAGCCAAGAGGATTCTAACCTCCAGGTCAGCTTCTCTAAACTTGATGAGGCAGGCTTCTTACTGACTCCAGAATCCAGATCTCCCTTTTATAACAGCAGTTACTTAAAACACACACATATACAAAAGAAAGAAAGAAAGAAACAAACAAAAACTTTTCTCCCTGTCTCCTTGGGAAAACTGGAGCCTAACTTCTGTAAGAGACAAGGAGGGAACACACAGACCCTAATCACATTGAACAGCCTCCTCCCTAGGGTACCTCAGCAGTGTCCTCCTCCAGGAATTTTCTACTTACTAGCTCACCCCAGTGCTTAAATACCCACTCCACCTTTCCTTCCTTTCAGTTCAACCTCTTTCCTCTAATGCAATAGTTTGGAATAAAACTCCCCTTTGCCTGCTTTACTCAGATGGGGATAGCTACCCTGAAGTGATGCCTTCATGATGCCTGGTAACCATAAAGCTTTTCCCTAGTACATTGTTTTTCCATTTTTCTTGCATTTGTCTTTCCTTCAACCATTCAAACCCTACCCATCCTCATTCTCAGTTGATGCCCTTGCTTTCTATATCACCGAGAAAACAGTAGCTATCCAAAAAGCTTTTCCACAGCTCCAGCCACCCATCAACTCACCTAGGGCATGTGTGCCCAGCTCCTCTGCCTTCCCAGTTTCTCTAGGCATGGAGAGCCTGGTGTCTCATGCCTATGCAAGAGGTTATATGAGTGACTTCCTCTGCCTCCTGCTTCCACAATTGTCCTCTGCTCCCACTAGCCCTTCTCACCTGCCAACCCCACTTCTCTACCTGACTTTTCAACAACATTCAAACCAAAGTTTTTGTGACACTTCCTCATACCACTTCCTTCCTTTAGATTTTAAGGCACAAAATGCTTTTAGTTTTCCGCCAATTTTCACTTGTTCCTCTTTATTCCCTAGTCTCTTATAGTGGAAATAATAAGGCTCAGTAAAAGATTTACTCTGACATTCTCTTCAATCATTCATTCATTCCTCCTCCTCCTCCTCCTCCTCTATTCATAGCTTTCCCTTATTCCCCTTCTGCTACAGGCAGCCATTCATTCACATGTATCTGATTTGTAAAATCCTATTTTTAATGACTTTTAGCAAAATGTATTATTATGCACATATATTTTAATGTGAGTAAATGATAGTTCAGAAACCATCTCTTTGATTAAGTTTTCTCTCAGTGACATGTTTTTAAGATCCATTCATACTTTTATAATAATTGGTTGCTACCTGCTTTAGTGTTCTGCCTTGTACTCATCCACATTTACTCCCCTCTAATGATACCCAGATAGCCAACAGCTGCCTTCGACTCAAACAATGATACAGCAAGCCATCTATCTGCCAAAGATTCTGAAGCTTCTCATTTCCTGCAACTTATCTCCAGAGTTTCTTGCCTCTTTGCTCCATTTACTCCCCTCTCCCAGTCTTCTCCATTTTAACTAATAATTCCATCCTTCCCATTATTCATATAAAAAACACAGGGTCATCCTTGATTCCTCTCTCTTATTCTACCCATCTACTGCAACAATAAAGTTTCTCAGTTTTACCTTCAAAATGAGTCAGAATTTGACAATTTCTCCATCTCCTTTTACCACAGTGAACAAAGTCATCATCATTTCTCTTACTGTCATTCCAAGGATTCCTTAATTTTTTCTCAAAAGAGCCGCCATAACAATCTTCTTAAAAGTGTATGTCCGATAATTGCATTGCTCTACTTAGAATCATCCAATGGCTTCCATCTCACTCAAAGGAAAAGCCAAACTAACTGCAATGGACTAAAAGGTCTTAGATGATCTACCTGCTCCCATACCAGTCTAGGCACACTTTCTCTGGCCCCTTACTCCAATGCCAATTCAGTGACCATCTTGCTATTCCTTGAACTTCCTAAGGACATTTTTCATAGTACTCTTTCCTTGGACTCAACACCCCTTTACTTATTCAATTGACAGCTGTAGTTACACATTCTAATACCTTGAACTCCTCCTACCCACCTTCCCTACTTAAATTCTCCTTAGCATTTATCTCTATTAAATATACTGTATTCTTCTAATTGATTTTTTTCTACTAGGGATCAAACCCAGGACCTCATGTATACTTGGGCTAGGCAAGTGCACTACCACTGAGTGACATCCCCAACCCCAAAATTATTTACTGTGTTTACCATCTATCTTCCCTAAGGTTCCACCGAAATAATGTAAACTCCATTAAGACAGGGATTTTTATTTGTTTTTCATTGCTGAATACCAAGCGCCCAAGAGAGTACTGGAAATCTAGGCATTCACTAAATTATAGAATAAGCAAAATAATCAATATGAAATCTGAATTCTAAGAAGGCAGTAAGGGAAATTAATCAAATTAATCGGGAAATAAGATTCAAGTGGGGAAACATATTCCTAAATCACCCTTTGCTCTAGGGCTGACCATTTGCATATCATTCCACTCTACTTGCCCAATTAAGCTCTGGAATATTCCATAGCAGTATATTAATCTGATCCTGTCCCTATTTCCATTCCTCCTTTTAAACCTTTCTCTGGCTAAGAGGATGAAACCTAAGTATCTCACTGGACCTACTAACTCTGGCAAGTTCTCTTCTCTAGGCACATTTTGCATTCCATTCACCTCCTCCTTTTCCTTTTCTCCCATTTGGTTCCTTCTAAATTAAAACAACGCTTCATATAGCCAACTCCTGCTTAGTCTGCAGAGCGAGGTTCATGGTATTCTCCCAGAATCTTTTCATGGCCACCCAGACCATGTCAGTGTCTGTTTTATGGTCTTAGTAGTTCATATTTTTATTAGCATATAATTATAATTAATTTTTATGGGGCTGGGTTATTATTATGAATCTCCCTTTCTAGACTGTAAACTTCCTGAGGGAAGAACTGTGACCATTTATGTACTGTAACATCTCAGAACCCCTGATTATAGGGGACACTCAGCTAATATTTACTGAATTGAAAGAAGGAGGAGGAGGAGGAGGAGGAGGAAGAGGAACCTGACCTGCAATGTTTCCTTCACCTCAGTTGTCCAAGTCTCATAATTCTGGTGGGGCTGCTGACTAGCCTTCTAAATAGCCTTCTAAGGGACCAACTTTGTCCTCCATAATTCCTACTTGAGCAAGGGCATCCTACTTTGGACTGATGCTTAGCTTTTTGCCCTCACAGAAAGTGTTCTTGGATTCCCATTTATGCATCCGTGCTTCCTCAGTAAAATGAAACAGGTAATTTTTAAAAATTTTTCAACATAAAATAAAACTCACATGCATACTACCTTTAAGGGAATAACTTGAGAGGCTGGGGTTGTGGCTCAGTGGTAGAACTCTCGCCTAGCATGCATGAGGCACTAGGTTCGATCCTCAGCACCACATAAAAATGAAATAAAAATATTGTGTCCACTTACAACTACAAAATGAATATTAAAAAGACAAGAGAATAACTTGAGTCACTAATATTTGCTTTAAATTTCACATGGAACTTATTAGTTTGACAGGAAGAATTTCCTTCTGCTACTGTTTGATTATGAATCTCAGTGAGACAGCATATGCATTAATATATGTCTACATATTATATAATTACATAACCATGCCTAAATGTGTCTTGTTTTTCCTCTTCCTCAAAACTATGTAGGTTCAGAGAAAACTAACAGTGACATCCCACATTTTCAGGCATGAAATCGTGTGTGTAAAATATAATCACGTGATAATAAAATATACATGTTACTACAAATTCCTGTTATAAATTTGCTAATCTGAAGCTTCAGAGTGGCCATAACTGTAATTTTACTTCATATTTATTGAAATAGGGAAAACTCCATCACCCATTCTTGGAAGACAAGGTAACATTACATTTAAAACAACAAGGTTTTCTTCCCTCTGTAGTTAAGTTGATTTGCCCATTTCTAACTGTGTATAAATGTCAGGTGTACTAAGCTGTTTTTTATTTGAAGCCAAACTATACAGCTCATTCCAGAGCCCAAAACAAATTTAAAAGGTCTCTGTGGTTTGTGACTCGTCATCACACAGCTGTAAAAGAAGACAAGCCAGCAGGCTGGATCCCATCTCAAAACTTTCAAAGGTTAAAGACAATTACCTCTTCAAGGACATCAGCAAGCTTGCTAAGGATCTCTTCAGGAAGGCTCTGGAATGTTGGAACACTAAAAAACAAAACAGAGAATGATGCTGAACACATGAACAGCAACTTACTTTTAATAGATAACATTGCAATATATCTGAATAAAAATGCAAAAACCCTTCCTGGCAATCTGCAGCTTAAGATCAAAGCAATTGTTTAAGCATGCTTTGCATCCAACAAAGAAAAATTATGTTGTAAGATAAAGAACTTGCAAGTCTTACTGAACCAAGTCCAAATCCCATTTGTTTATCTATGTGACTGTAAAGCCTTAGCTACAATGAAGAGACAACTATCCTCACCCCCTTATCAGTCTGTTGTCACCAGATTCCTCCTTTCCAGGTTTCCCTGCACATACCCTCTTCTTCAAGTCAATTCCTACCCTTTCTTTAGGACACAGTTTGATTGATGATACATTCAGACCTGCAAACATTCATTCTACAACTCTGAAACACTTCCCAGTCTCCCCAACCCTTCCCCAGCTAGGTCAAGTTCTATTTTGAGCTCATGAGCTTTTATTTTTTTCTCCAGTGCTGGGGATATAACCCAGGGTCTCAGACATGCTAGGCAAGGGCTTCACCACTGACCCATACCACCCTTGTCCTATTATCAACACTTTTGTCCCTTACTAGAGCTATAATTAGATAATTAATCAAGTATTTGTTTGTTTTTGCATGTCTTTCCTGCTATAATTAAAACTCTACAAAGATAAGAACTGCTTTTGTTCAACTCCCTGTATTTTCAGTGATTGACAAATAGACTCAACAGCATATGTGAAGTTGAAAGCAGGGATGTGTGGATGCATCACAGGACAGTGATGACAGGACTGAGATGTCCCAACTTTAATTACAAAGGGCTAGAAAACAGAAGGGAGGAAAGACAGGGGAGTGTGTGTATTGGGTGGGGGGGCGTTAATCAGAAACAAGCTAGAAACCAAAAAGAACAAAAATTATTTTACATTTTGGAATATATGTTAAAAGTTCAAGTTCCACCAGGGCTAACCACCAGGACCACAACAGCCTATTTACATATTCTTTTTGCCAGACTTCTCCCTATGGATTGCCCTCCTAATCCAAAATGTCTCTTGCTTTACAATATCCTGCCCTTCTTACCTGTAACCAATGTTGGTTACAGTGTTTTCCTTCCCCAGATCAGTCTTCATAAAGTTCACTGTTCATTTTTCCATATTTTGTCTATTTCCTAGTGGTCAGGCAGCCTAATCCAGCCAGCCAGGCTCTATGCAGGGTCCCTGGGGAAGGCTGCAGGTAACACTATCTCTAGCCCAGTTCCTTTTGCTGGTACTTGAAGAAACTGGTCCCAGGACCTTCTCCTTTCTGTTTTCTGGCTAGCATCTGTAATGGTCCTAATAAATTCTTTTATTTCAGTGATTTCCCTGATCTGAAGAGTTTTTGTTTAGGAATCATTGTTAGGATAAGACAGGTAGAACAAAGACCCAGATTCCTAGTACCATTACCCATGTTCATTCCTTTCTGTTCACCCTGTTCTCTTATTTGACCCCTTGAAACAGCAAACGAAAATATTGAATGATGTCAAGTGTACAAACCAATAAAATGTCTTGGTTTGTACAATAAAGCAATGACTTCAAATGAAACTCCTCTGCAAAGTCAGTCAAACTAGGTTGTAGCACTAAATTCTCATTCTGCATCTCAGTGTTTGAAAAGACCATAAATGAGTGCATGTACATTTGCATACCTGATATTTTACTTATAGCATAATTCTCACTTGATTAGAATATTACAATAGAAGAAACTGTAACATATTGTTTTGATATAAGCATGCAAGTTTAGCTGTTAATTTGTCACTCTAATTCCTGTTACTTAGGTTAAAGCCTGTTGATGAAATCCCAAGGTTTTATGCAGTGGTGTAGCAATTCACCCAGGACCATCTGTTCTGCCAGATTTACTGCTGTGGTCTGAGACATGTGGTTTTTAATTTCCAGAAGGCAGTCCATTTCAGCAGCTGGATGGAATGCATCACAGAAAGAGACAGCAGAAGACAGAGGAAGCTGTTTCCATGAGTTATGCAGGTTGAGAAACTGAGCCCTTCCTTGTTCTATTAATGAGGTTCTATTTCAGTTTCTTCTGAGATGTTAGAAAAATTAGAGTTTCTATTCTATTGAGTATTTGAGGAAAAAACAAGCTTTATAATATACTTCTTCAAACAGTCCTTTATTTCTGTGCTAAACTTTTATTTCAATCTGGGTTGTATCTATGTTAAGCCATTCTGAAATATTTCCGTTGTCATGATGGATATTACCCATGAGGGGAAAAAAGGGTCTTTACTTGGCCATCTAATACACTAGACAAAAACAAAAACATTAATATTTAGGAGGACATTTTAAATACAATATATTTTATGATTTGCAATCCATTTTAAATGCCTCAAAATATTGCAAAGTGTTTATTATTAACAAAAAATAAAGGATATTTTTAAGAAGAAACACTTAAAATATCAGTAACCACTGATGCACTTCTGTACTTAACAAAAGGGGAAAAATCATTTGACAGAAAAAGAAGTATTTTCACTTTAATGTTACTCTTAAAACACTGTGGTAGCCATCTTTAAAATCCTAAGTCTCTATTCTCAAAACATTAGCTAAGTCTGTCATGTAATTAATTTGCTAAGAATTACAAGTCTACTAGAAGCTTGAATATCAAGAAAAAAAATTGAACATGTTCATAGCTTGAAATTCCACTCATGAAATATTGTAGTTGAATTTTCCCAAATACTTCAAAAGATATTGAGTTTCCACTGACATTGAGTTTCCACTAATATGGACAAATGAAACCTCAAGATAGAGTTATCTGATTTATATAACTTAAGACAAACAATAACAAAAACAGACTTCCAGAGAAAATGTTTTAACACTAGAGAAAAATATTTTCTTTTATGCTGAAACTAATTTATTCCAACAATTACATGCTAATTACATGAAATTGTTACAGATGGGTTCAAACGTTTCAGTTCACTAAGGACTTGCAATGACCTGAAGTAAGATAATTGCACTTAAATATAATATAATGGAGATGATTTAAAGTTTGGCAATTTTCCACTGTTTTTCTAATTAAATGAAGCAAGGACTTGGAATTTGTAATGACAGTAACAGAAAATGAGATTTGAGGGATCTTTATTTGCTGTTTATTGGGCTAAAGATTTTATAGGTAATATAAGGTTTATTTTTACATCAGTCTTATATAGTCATTATTGTCATCCATTTTACAGATAAGACAATGCTGCCCTTGACTGTTTGCTTAAGGTCACACCATTTATCCCTGGTGAATCACCAGGTGAGGGGGTGCACACCTGTAATCCCAGGTGTTCTGGAGGCTGCTGTTGCAGGATGATTTGGAGTTAAAGGCAGCCTCAGCAACAGGGAGGTGCTAAGCAACTCAGTGAGACCCTGTCTCTAAATAAAATACAAAATAGAGCTTAGGATGTGATTCAGTGTTTGAATGCCTCTGAGTTCAATCCCCAGTACCACTCCCGCCCCCCCCCCCAAATAACCTGGGGGTACAAAGATGACAATTCTCTACAGCAACAGCTATTATTAAAGGAATCTTAAAAGCCTTTCCATGGGGATTAAAACTATCTTCAATTTTCTCTCTCTCTCTCTCTCTCTCTCTCTCTCTCTCTCTCTCTCTCTCCTTTTAGTACTAGGGATTAAACGCAGGGATGCTTAATGACTGAACCATGTCCCCACTCTTTTTACTTTTTATTTTGAAACAGGGTCTTGCTAACTAGCTTACAGCCCCACTAAATTGCTAAGGCTGGCTTTGAACTTGTATCATCCTACCCCAGTCTCCCAAGCCACTGGGATTTAGGTGTGTGCACTCATGTCTGGCTTAAGTTAAAACTATTTTTATAATAACTCTAAGTTGTAATTTTCCTTTTTCACTATTATTCTTTCACATGTATCCAGTAAAATTCTTCATGGGCTACCTGACATATGATGATATTGTCTCTTTGATGGCTAATGGAATATCTGCTCACATGCTCTTGTGTTTTCTAGAATTATTTAAAGTAGTAAATTTCTAATATGAATGTGCTGTTTACAGATATTAGTTTGTTTTCATTACTTCCTTTGTGCTTGTACAAGTTCTCATTATATGTGTTAATAACATTAGATCCAATGAATCATTCTTTTAAATTAATGAAGTTTTCCTTGCATCTAAGTGGAAAAACAAGAAGTTTTGCAAAAAATAGTTTCATGTTTCTTTGAAAATATTCTAATTTTTGTTTGTTTTGCTATGCCAGGAAAAAAACCCAGGGTCTTGTGCACACTAGTCACTCTACCACTGTGCTAAATCTTCTGTCCCTCTTTTAAAATTTTATTTAAAACTGTCACAGCTTTACAATTTATAGTACTTATTAAGAATTTAATAAAGAAAGTTTGCTTTATTTTCCTTATTTTTAAAAATGTGATCATTTTCTTCGAAAGGGTAATAAGAAGATTCATATTCTCAAGTCACAGCTGCCAATTTCTAACTCTAGAGACATTTGGAAAATATAAAATGACACATCAGAGAATTTTCTAACTCACAGATGGAAGAAATCTAGTCCAAAGAAACTTAGAGATGCTGTAAATAAAAAATAAAAACATAAGAATAAAAGCTATCTTTCTCTCAGCATATAAATGATAATAACTTATCTTTCACAATAATACTTCTAGAAAATATTATCATGCCAGTGATATCATTTTGAGACAAATCATTCAAACTTTAGAGAAAAAAGAAACTGAGTTTTTAAAATGTTGATATTGAGTTTTTTTAAATCCAAAAGTCTCTTAGTATAGCTTTTCAAATTACAAATGAAAAAGCCAATGAAGTGTCTTACAGGCAGATACCATGTTGTGTTTAGTGAAGAAGCCCAACAACAGCTAATAAAGCAATCACTTCCTATAGAAGTAACTTTATTGAATGCCCGTAGGATGCAAAATCAGAAAAGAAATCATTGCACTGACTCTCTCCAATGATAGAGTACCTTTTTGAATTAAAATTTTTACAG